AAGCTGACTATAAAGAAAAACCGGATATAATCAAACGAATTGCAATCAACAGAGATAAATAACGAAGAATTCAAAAGAAGTGGATAAATTGCAATTGAGTCGCACCCATGGGCGTGCATGGATTTGTTGGTAGCCCTCTTGGTGGTCTTGGCCTGCTGCTGGGTTGGGTGGCTTTCTGCCGAATCGGAGTAATAAAAGTCATGGTCTTAAGGTCAGATTCGAAGCGAAAAGATCCAGCCTGGGATAATGTCCCCTTACGCGGATCCGGGCCGATGGCCAACCGTGTAAGAGGGTATTGGAGGCCCACCCTTCGGGTGGGTCCTCTGGTCTTTTACGAAAGTGAAGGACTTCAAAAGTCGTCAAGCAAACGTACATGCATATACGACTATAATTGCTATCATCATCATCATCTTCCAAACTCTTAAACATCCTATGGAATTATTAAATATAATATCGACAGATATAAAATAATACAAAATTCAGGGAATGATACAAGTAAATTACATATATACAAATACAAGCATATTTTGCAGGTTCAAAGTGTTTAAGAAATTTTAAGTAGGGACTGTACTTTACAAAGTGTAACTGTCCAATCTGATCTGTATTACCACAAACAGCCACTCGCGCATGAGTCTCATTTTAAGCTTCGATGTACGTGAAATTAATTAAATATTTTTGCCGGAAACGCGCGTGTAAATAGCGCATTGAAATTAATTAAGGTTTTTATTTTGTAAGATTTTAAGTGTTCAGAGACCATATTGTCAAAACTAATATTATGTATTTCAAAAATATAAATATAAATCGAAAGAGTCAAATAATAAACTGAAAACTGTCAACAATGTGCAGAACTATTTTGCGTTATAAAAACCCACCAGTATTAACAATTTTTATTGATGCACTCCCATTCTAAAGGCCATGTACGAAGTAAGTACATAACCAAGCAATAACAACTTGTTTTGACCGAAAATACTCAAAACAACATCCCAACATTGATGAGAATAACAACTGTGCACTCTATGTTTGGTTTCACGTATCTCATGTTCGATGACATCGTGGTTTACTTGTAAGAATGCATCGAACGAATTTGTTTGGACGCATAATGCTATTAACAGTCTCACAAAAATCTAATGATTATTACGTGTAAGTATTCTTGACAAGACAATGGTAGCATTCCTTTTCTTATTCGAATTACTGTGATGCTGATCTCTACTGTGAAGATAAAAGTAACAAAAATAGGTATAGATATGCAGATAATATACTCACGTGTACCAAGCCAATAAAATACGGGTACATATTGGAACATAAGACCGTGAGAATGCTGTAAACAATATTCATCACAGCGGTCTGTTATGGCTTTTAAAAGGTCATCCTGAACGACGAGAAGCGTGGTAAGCCCTACCAGTCTCTCTCTAATCGAAGCGTTTTGTTTTCATTCCCCTCTGGTTTCTAGGCACTTTGTTATGTGTTCCGATTTTGAAACGAAACGAATTTAAAAAAGGCTGAATTTAAATTATGTATTTTTTTTCATACTATTAAACTTTAGGCTCGTCTAGTTAAAATTATCTTTGAAACACTTTAAGAGGTGTACAAGCGGCGGAAAGAAAATTAGCGTGACCTATTTTACAATATGTTTCAGTTGGTCGTCGATCAATTTTTTAAGGACGAGTGCCCTTGTTGTTATTATGGGGTTCAACGCCATTTTTCAGCACAAGATAGGCTATACATGGCGGCCAGTATTAATGGTGGAGGAAGAACCCTGAAAAACCCAGAGAAGAACCACCGACCCACAAGAAGCTACAACAGGCTCTCTCACTTACCCATGTTAGCCGAGTCTGGACTCGAACTCACGCAGACAGAGGTGAGATGGCAGTGATTCGTAACGGTCAGCGCTTTAGACTAATTGGCCACTCGGGGCCCCAACCATGTTCGTAATTAGTACCAAAATCAATGCAGCCATGCAACCTTTGACCTTTAAAATAGATATGCTTGTCAAGGTAGAATGATGTGGATGGCGTAAAACTGTTCTGATTATTTTGATTAATTTCAAGTGCCACCTTACAAAATAGAGAAACTTTAAATGTCTGTCATAATCTATTAATATATTTTATATACATTTACTAGTTATCCGTGCTTATTATTTATTGACTAAAACAAGAACCGTTTTTTTTTCTCTAACTCTTCAGGATGACAAATAAAAACTACGTTCAAAGAGGAATTAATTTGTATTTATTTCGTTCATGTATCATTTACTATTTACGATAGAATGGAATGCATGCACAGTTGAAACATATAATATTTAAAAGTTATGTAAATTGACGTACTAATTTACATTCTGAACCGTCAACTCGTGACATGCCAACGTAGTTTACTGTAGAATTTAATAATTCTGAACGAATACCTTTGGTTATAAACATCTTGGACGACCAAGAGAGGCTCATTTTCTTGACGGCAACGAAATATATAAATGCCCTGTGATATTGTTTGGTAGTCGTTAGATCTGTCTATGCAATACAAAATCGGGCTTTTAGCAAGGCTTTAACTTCATGGACTCCCTTACTAATTGGGCGAAATCATTTTTAAAAGAAGGAAGAAAAATAAAACTTTAAACTATCGTTTTGATCTTGATACGTATATTCTATCCTCATATTTCATGAGCTCACAATATAAAATGTATATTATTGTACTTTATTGTTGCCAATGTTGCCAAGAGGAACCACAGAAACATATGACTGGTTGCAAAAATTACCTTTTGAAACATCAATCTCTTATTTAGTTTGAGTTCATGACATGCAAAAAAGAATAATGTTAGGTCACAGATGGGATTATTTTTGAAATATCCCAAACTCCATTAGACAATTTTAAAACTTCTCCTAAAATACAAAGAATTACGTTAGGCGATATTGCAAACGCGATAAAAAGCAGCAATCCATCCTCCCGACCCTTGCCCCAAAATCCGATAGATAAAGCTATATACTTCTCTTGTTGTCATGATCAGATAAAATTAAATCTGTTCTTTATGATTTGACTGGAGACATATTTCCTTATTCCAGGAATTGTGAATAGCTAAAATTAGAAAATATTTGTTTTATAAACAAAGGCTTTAAGTGTTTCAAATCAGACTGACTTGTTGCATATACCTTTTAGTCAAAACAAATGAAATTAGGCCATCGTGTCAATGTACTCTACATTGTCAAAGGACACATGTCACATGGGTGACGTGAATCCAAATGAAGTCCTAATGTCTTTTAGCAATTGGAAATATGTCCTTATAAAACGGATTGCATATTGGTTCCTGAGAAATCACTGACGAAGACCGTTCTGGTAAGACATGGTAGGAAAGAGAGGTGTTGCAAGGGTATAATAGGCATATATTTGGAATAGCTCTATGGAGTAGGTATGTTACTGCTGCTGAATATTGTGCCAAAACTATATCTAATCTTGAGAACAGAACAACTGCACAAGGACATTATTTACGCTACATACTATTAGAAAAACGCCAAGAAACCGGAAGTTAACTGGAACATGTATGTATGTATGTATGTATGTATGTATGTATGTATGTATGTATGTATGTATGTATGTATGTATGTATGTATGTATGTATGTATGTATGTATGTATGTATGTATGTATGTATGTATGTATGTATGTATGTATGTATGTATGTATGTTAAAACACGTGCTTTAAATGATTCCAAAGAATAACATATTTCATAACATACCAATGTTACAGCATGAAAGTGTAATTGATGCGCTATATGCAGTCAATCAATATTATTATTATTATTATTATTATTATTATTATTATTATTATTATTATTATTATTATTATTATTATTATTAAATTTTTTTGACTGTTCCTATAGCAGAAAGGGCGCCAAGTCTCCTAACCTACTTATTTTGCACATATTGGGAGGTACTAAGATAGGCCAGCAATCATTCAAGGATCATTAAGGTCTTTCACTTTGGTACCAGATTACCAAACATCATTATTTACAGGATACATTTCCCTGACAATACATTCTACTCAACCAAAAATCTATTGAAATACACCAAAGTATTTTGCATTCATAGTTGCTCCAAGTTGTGCTATTACACCTAATAGTAGTATGTATATTGTGGTAAGGACAATCTAATTAAAATCAGACGGCAGTTGTCCTAAGTGATGACAGCTTAGGGGTCATATTCTGGTGACCTATATTATTATCGTAATCGCTTATTTTATTAGCCAATCAGATGAAATCTTATATCGTTGCGTTTGGAATGTGGCTGAAGGACACACGGTACTAATTCTATAGAAGAACTGTGAACCAGTCTAGAAATGGGTGAAGAAATAATCCAGTATATACGGGTTTGGTAGTCCATAATTGGTTAATAATGAAAAGTAAAGTTTTATTAAAAATATCTTTTGAAAGCTTGTCCTATGTTTAATTTAAAAAAAAAATAGACAAATTTCTATTGATGCAATTTTAGTATTTTTAAAGACTTGACTTAGGATTACTCAATAATGAAAGTAGCACTTGATTCACTTGGTGCTGAATCAATAACATGGACTTCATGCACATGTAGGTCAAGAAATCTAACCATAACAAGTCTGTAAAATTCACACGATATTATGTGTAATCATAACCAGTCTGTGAAATGTAGACTATTATTTGTTATCATGAACAGTCTCTGAAACGTAAAACCAACACCAGTCTGTGAAACGAATACACCATTACGTATGTGCAGATATTATAATTATAATGATTCAAAAAGTAATTTTGTGATAAAAAGAAAGCAAGAGCTCATATATGTGTTTGTATATGTTGTGTGTGATCTGGACTTTTAAGGTACGTCGCTACGACTTCGGTAGTGAGGGAGTTTATAGCATTGTGTAGTACTGCCGCATCATATCTTACCCAGTCACATTATCCTGACACCAGGCTGACCAGTCCTAATACTAACATCATAATGTTGAGCGCCAGAGGAGGTAGTTGCAAGTACCATTGCTGCAAGTCTTTCGTGTGCCTCGGCCGGGGATCGAACCCGCGACCTCCCACGTCCGAGGCGGACGCTATAATCATCTATGCCACGGGAAAGGAATTGACATCCATAATATAATGTTTATATTGTTACATTATCATTTCATCTACGACAAACATTTTTTAATTTCTTGGAAAAAAAATATATTGCTAATGTAGTGTTTATTTATGCTAAACCTCTCTACCGATCTAACTTATAATATTCTGAGAAATAGATTTAATTTCTAAATTTAAAATTTTAGATTAGAAATATCAAAGAGGTCATTTATCATTTCGAACTTATCTCGGTGGAACACCCTGCCCTATGAATTCATACATTCATGGAACACACACACACACACACACACACACACACACACACACACACACATATATATATATATATATATATATATATATATATATATATATATATATATATATATATATATATATATATATATATATATATATATATATATATATATATATATATATACACACACACACACGGCTTTGGAAAATGCCATTTGTACTCGCTAATAAGTCGTCCAAGAACAAACTGAACAAACCCAGATCTGCCTTGCATAATGGGCAGTTTGTTAGAAGTAATCAGTAGAACAAATAGTTTAGATCCTGACATGCAGGCTCATTATCCTACAGCAGATCATGGTCTTTGTTGTTTGCAGACTGATTCGACTTGCAAGTGGGTCTATAAACGATATTCATTCCTTCATACACGAATTTTACCTAATTGTAGTCCTGTAAATATTTATTTATGTTTTGACATTTAATTTACTAGAATTTTATTGCTCTAATAACAATTTATCTTTAAACAGGTCATTCAATAATCTTAATATCATTGTGGACAGGCACGTGAGAATTCATCTCAATATTTTTTTCTAGAGTGTTACCATTATATAGAAACGCTTCGTAAAGGTTCAACTGCCTTTCATATGTTCTTAACAACCATAATTTAGGTCAGCTTGCATTCAGAGGTATTTGGTGACCTTTAGAAATATGTCCATTCTCTACCTATATATATATATATATATATATATATATATATATATATATATATATATATATATATATATATATATATATATATATATATATATATATATATATATATATATATATATTCGTTTGACCTGTTTTATACAAAGCACAGGAACCCAAAGTCGATTTCTTTGTAACGGATACAATTTACCTATTGATTGCGTTCACGAAGGTTAATGTTCCACATCTCTATCCAATGGTCTACTGGGTCAACACATATAACAGAAATATCGAATACCTGACAGGCACCCATTTAATATTGTCTGGCTGAGTACGCTACATGATCTCAGATGAGAGACTACTCCTCTTGATTCATACTGGTCACAGGCCCCTAAAATATAGCTATAGCTTAAAATGCATGCCATGTTAACCTTGCATCGAAATTGCATGCATTTTCGAGTTAGCTACGCCAATGCATTTTTGAGATTAATATATATCACTATAGTATAGCAGGGTCCTAAATATTGTTCCCCGTTAGGGTGGCACCACAAGACTCCTCCCCAGCACATAAAGAGTTTGAAGTGCCACCTTCTTTGTATTTCTAAAGGTAATGTGTCCCAAGTCCAGTTTTGGTAGATATTAATTATGGCATCAATCGTAATTGCTGTCGTATTAGCTAGGATCTTAACTAATATTTCATAGTCTGTTTAGTAAAGTCAATTCTTTGGGTCTATAGTTTTTCCCTCATTTTTACAAATCAGTGTTATTAGTCCTTGTATCATGCTATGGGACATTTCTTTTTGTCTAACATTTCTTCTCATACTTTATGTGAAAGTGATACTGTTGAATTTTTAAATGTTTTCTAAAATTCAGCATTAATGCCATGTATTCCAAGCGACTTATGTTTGTTTAGTTGGACAATTGGATATATAATTTCCTGTTCTGTAATGGGTTCATCACAGTTGGTTATATTTTCCTGACATAATTTAGGAAAGTTTATGTTGTTTGTATAATTTCTCATCAATCATTTTCTGTATATTGTAACAGTAATGTTTTTTTTTTTTTGGGGGGGGTAATATCCTTTTTCCATCCTTAATTTATGTCATGCTACTCTCTCATCCTTTTCTAATTTCCTCTCTTCGGTATATGTTCCTGCATGGTTTATAAATAAAATCAAATTTCCCTGCTCTATTTCTTTTCTTTTTTGTAGATCTTCTGACACTTTTTGCTTGTTGTATTTCATCATCAATTGATTATGGAGAGTGATTAATATTGATGCAATCTCTTTCAATATATATTGTTCCCTGCTATGATGACTACCCATGACTCAGTCCCAGAACAGGCTGGTAAAGAGTTGGAGGTGTCACCCCATGTTTTAGATTTCTAAAGGTAATGGCTAAATTTGTTTATCACTGTCATACCATAAAGAGTGTCTCTGTATATAAATTGAAACGTATGTATATGCATATGTATAATGTTTTAAACTTTTTAAAAATTTTTGCTAAAAAAATAAGTTCCGTCATGGCTAATCTTGGGTATCGTTCCCCATCACCTTCATACGACTATTTGATTCCCATCTTTTCGAAAAGTAAACTTTGATTATCTTCTTCTTGATTAAAATTTTTAAAAAGTGTAAATGATAGTAATATACAGTCTACAATCTTGTCAATCACTGAAACTTAGACCCTGAACACAGTCTTGACTTGTTAGGAAATGTCATCAAGTGCTTCATTATGTTGCTAGTGTTACTAACAAGTTAGGAATGTTTTACCAAGTTTCTTAAATCACTTGCACGGTGTGACGAGCATGGATGCAGGAGTTACCTCCCTGTGGCAGACGAAATCAATCTGATATTTGAACAAGAATCTGTTACTCAAGCAAGAGGTTATATTTATTACTGTTAGAGGTTTTATGGCTTTATTAAAAAAAAAATTCAAAAATTTGGATCAAAAAGCTCCTCTTTTTGAATATTTCTCCTTTTCTGTTTATTCGTTAACCTTTGGCGTCTTAAGCAAAACAAGATACAAACTGAAAATGGAGTCAAACTATATTTAAAATGTTTGTTTATATTTTAAAATGTAAAAGAGAAGATGTTTAAAAAATTAACAGGCGCCATAGATTAATGGGAATGTTTGTGAATATCAATGTTAACAGCCTTTTGCGTGTAGCAGACAAAGCTCCTGGTTAACCTTTGTTTACAGCGAGAAAGTATAATTTGAATGTTTTCAAAATTTAATTACAGGAACAATATTTGCTTAACAATATGAACGAAAAGATCCATACATTGAAATTAGTGATTGTTTTCCTTTTTCAGATAACTTTGTACGAATTATTTCCAAACTTATAAACAGCTCCCAGGTCTATCTTAATTCAGATATTTTTGTATCTAAGTAAAATATATTTTAATAGCTTTATGATGCATAATTATTGTTTAGTGATGCAACAAAACTGTTATACTGTAGTGTCCAATAAACAAAAACAACTTTGATTAATTCATTGTGAAATCGCATTTATTCTTATACTACCAAGCATTTCTCCTAAGTAGGAAATTTACTTTTCGGCGCTAAAATTGTTGCACACAATGTATAGAGTTTCGTCAAAACTTGATAAAGTTATAATGCTCAATTTATTAACAGAAATATTTACAGACAGGTAGAAACTTCAGGAGTCATAGCTATCCTTGATGTCTAAAACTGAAGAAAAGTAAACCCTAACTGTGTTGAGAATAGTGTCTGATATCAAGAATACGTCGATGGTTGGGCATGCTTATCCTAAATGATATAAACGTACAACCCTTGCCAAAACTCAGGAGAACATAGCACCATCTACACCTGCTTGTGTACAAAGTTTCTCACGTACACATAAATGAATGTTTTATTACGTAAGTTTATGAATGAATCTCTCTCTCTCTCTCCCTCATTCTCTCCCCCTCCCCATTTGCTCTCTCTCTCTCTCTCTCTCTCTCTCTCTCTCTCTCTCTCTCTCTCTCTCTCTCTCTCTCTCTCTCTCTCTCTCTCTCTCTATTCTGACACTTACTCGACGTCGACTTTCAAATAAATATTTTACTGCTATTTTATTAAGAAGATATTTGCTTCCAACAGAAAATACTTTTGAACGATCAAGATCTTTTGTTATTTTTGTATATTTGTGTTAACTGGTCGGATCATGGAAGTTAACAAACTTTTCATGATAATTCATCACGCAATTGCTCATGATATCTGAAATATTCACTGCCGCCAAGTCTAACAAGCGAGAAGTTTTAGTTTTCCACGGCGGCGGAAACATATTCCTGAAGTAGCAGTGTACATTTCAACTGTCAACTGTTTGCTGTCAATCATCATATTTTTAATCTTGCAGTTGCTGCTATTTGTCACACCGACAGCAAGTGCTAAATAATCTAAATTGACTAAGGCAAATAGCTGACTGAGGCAAATTCAGCTATTTTAGTGTCATCAACGTATTTCTTGTTTGTTAAATCGTCGTTGGCTGCAGGAACATACGATGACGTCATTTCTTTAACGCCCATACCTAAAGTTTGAGACATTTTTTTCTCCGTTTAGTTTAACGAAATTACTTTCAACAACTTTAAATTAGTTAGTCAATCATCGTTGGCCAATGCTACTTTGTCAAGGTGCGTATTGTATATCAACTTACCACCCATCTCATTCGTACATGTCATTGATCCCCCTGCTAGTTTTAAGTACGGAGTAAGTGCGCTTTTTAACTGAACATAACTCACTGTGTTTTTTGTTAGCGGCATGAGGGGAGTTTATTGAATGTCTAGTTTTTTTGGGCTGGTTGACAAAGTTAAATTGCAGGTCCATATTTGATACAGACCATATAATTTCTTTGGAAAAATTCGAGTGAACATCTTTTAAAAAATGCAAAAAGATCAGGTAGGCCCAACTAAAACCCCCAATCACGGACAAAGGTCAAGCACAAAATATAAATTTAATGTAGATTACATCTATACTGATAAAGAAAAAAGAAAATGTTATTACAGAAAACATTCTTTTACATATTAATAAAGATTCATATGATCCTATAAAGGTACATAATGTCTTATGAATGACATGAAA